CTAGAATGATGGTCATGCCTTTTTTATTGGCTCTAATAACTGGATTTAATCAGGATGAAAAGTTGATTTTCCGTCAATACATTATAAGAATAAACCAAAAGATTTGAAAATCATTGTTCATATGTCAGGAAATTTGTAATTTCTCACTTCTTCATGGATGGGCTATATCTAGTTTTTAAAAATGGATAAATTTCTCTCTCTATATGCTTAATTGGAATCTTCACTATAAATACAACACCTGTACTAATGGAATTAAGGCTTTTGCAGGTTGTCCATGAGTGCATCAACAATGCTATCACCTGTTGATCCTGATATAACAATTGTTAGGGAAACTCCTGGTGTAATTGGCTTTGACGCTATAGCAACTTCTGAAGTCATTTCGATAAATGAAGACTCCAGCTTGACAGCTGTCCCACTGTCCAGTGAGATTCCAGATAATTTTTCCCGCAGTCCTGTATCTTTAGTGAATTCAAGTCTGGCTTTTAAATCCACTTGTTTGCTGGCAACTCCTGAAAGAACTAATAATGACAGACTGAATGTACGAGTACCAGAGATGGAGTCACCATACAATTTGAGTGCCAATTCATTTTCCCTTAAAAGGAGAAAATCGATGTGTTCATCATCTGACCGTATACAGAAAGTAGAATTTGGCTCTCCCGTTTCTAGAACTCCTGATTCTGTCAGCTTCATGGTGAGCTCAATAACAAAAGTAGATCCAGAAAAAAGAAATGGAATTGATTCTCAGATGCTCAATTTGAACAAGGAAAATGGCAGATTTTTTCAGCCATCATCATTTAATGATACTGGAACATCATGTGCTCCTGATCCCACAGCGGTCAAGAGACTGCAAATCTTTTGTTCAGTGTGCAAAAATCCTTTGGGACTTCCTGAAAATAATCTGTGTGTTGCGTCCACTCTAACATCCTGTTCCAAAATTTACTTGAGATCTCTTCTGAGGGAGAAGTTGGAGAGTTCAGATGTATGTTCCTCAAGTATACCAGTTCTGGTAACTGATAAGTCATCAGTTGATCAGCAGTTCTTTGAGAGAAACAATGAAGCTGCTCCAGCAGGACCAGTAGAGGGTATTTGGTGCAAAGCAGATGGTTGTGTATTTAGTACAATTTTCTGCCCATTCTGTTTGGATAGCACCACTTGTCTTGGCGTACAAGTCATGGCCACGGATGCATCCAATGTGTGTTTACAAAATAAGGTGATAAAGATTGTCATCTTATACTTTGTGCTGGTGGAAAAACATTTTTTCTAACTATTTTCTGTTGTACAGGTATTGTTGTTTTCTGACCTTCTAGAGATTAAAAGTCCTACCGCATCAATAACCAAGGTAAGGTTCTCACCCAGGAATTATACATTTTCTCTTCTTTCTAAAAATAGCATTTCTCTTTGGGTAACATTTCATGGTGCATGTGGATGTACGTGTATTTATAATTTTATTGTGAACATATGCAAATGCTTACGCAGAACAGCTAGGAATATGGGAAAGAACTGGTAGTTATTGAAAATCAGATCTAAATTATACACAAATTTTCAGATTTTTTTTGGGTGCAAGAATAGTGAAAAAGAAATTGAGGTTAAGATTGTAGGATAATGTGGAGCAGCCTTTTTTTTTTTTTAAGGAGGATAATCATCTAGAAATTTTTAGAAGTAACTAAGGTGAAAAAAATCCAATGCTTGATTTTGCTACACAAGTAAATGGAGTTGATTAAAATGCTTTATCTTTTGGTGTATAATCTGAAAATTTATGAGTATTCAGGACCTTTATTTTTATTTAGTATAGCTCCTTGCGTTGGAGTTGAGTTGTAGATCCTTCTATGTTCTTCTCTGCAAATGAAGGTATTGCAAAAGTGGAATTTTAGTACTACTTAAGATTGCAGATTGCATATAATGCTGGACCTCTTTATGTGGTAGTGGTGTTACACTTCTGCTGGTATTGATTACAATATCAATCAATTTTCTGAAATTATTTGTATAGAATTTCGTGTCTTAGATATCCTGATGATACACGTGTTCGCTTTACTAGCTTATCTTTTTGGCAAAATGAAATTAGAGGTCAGATAGCAGCTCTTGATTACCTGTGATCTCCTCCTATTTACATGCTGCACCTATTTTGTACTAGGAATTATCTTCATCTAATGGCTCATGCACCAGTAAGAGAGCTGGGTTGAATTCCATTGAGAAATACGCTTACATCCCAGAACAAAAGAATTCGGGAGGCTGGAGGACTACAAAATCAAAGGTGAGAACTTCATTTGTCTATATCCTATGATGTTGTTTGGCCAAGATATCATTTTTGACAACTCTAACGTTACAGATGCAACTGCCAAAGAGGGGTCTGCTGTCCACTCCAGAAAGCTAATGTAGATGCAAGATGTGATGTTCTGGTCAACATGTGCAGTGGAGGATTCTTGTCTGGACTAGTTTTGGAAAAATGTATTGGAAGTTGGGGCTGTTCTTGGATAGGCGTTTGAAATTAAGTAGGTGGCAAGTAATGTTTCTCTGAAGAAAAGTTGACCTGCTGCTTAGTTTTGCTGATAGTAAATAACCTTGATGTGTCGTGTTTGTAAAAAATTTATGGCTGATGGGTACTCACAACAGGGTCATGCTAGAACAACATGGTCTTGTGTGTTGTACGACTGTTGCAGATAGCTTAGATATTGGTGGATTCCATTCCATTTGGCAAATGAATTCGTAAAACAGACTTGTTTGAGTCCTAGTTAGGATCGGAAACCACTTTTCCTTTACTAGTTGACAACCGCTATTACTGACTGGTCTTGCTGAAAATGCAGGTAAGTGTTTATTTTTGGGCAACATTGAAATCAGGCATGGGTGTTTTCTTATTGTTTATCGTTTTGCTTTTCGGGTGGGAGCAATCCAATTGAACAAGACTACGTTAATAAAGCGGATGAAATTTTACGAAATTTTTTTTTTACAAAGTGACTGGTTCATGATAAGAATTACTTTTTGGGGTTGTCCTGGGATTTGCAGAAGTTCATTGGACAAGCTACCAATAAAAGGGTTGTTATTTCTTTAATGCAGCTTCTGTCAAATTACTGTAAGATATATTTTTTAAAAAATTAGTTTTTCAAATATAATACAATAGTAATACACAAATAAAAATAATTTAAAAAATATCTCATTCATATAATATATCCGAAACAATTTATAAATACACACAAAAAAACTAAAAAAATAAATTTTTTACCATTTTCTATTTATGGTCACCATCCATTACCCCTTCCTCTTCCTCCTTCCTCACCTCCCTCGAATAGCTAGATCACGACTAGAAGTCGGCAACTTTCTGGTTGCAATCTAGCCGTGACCAAATTGCGGCCTTTGGTCGTGACTAGAGGCCTTGATTTGGTCTCAACCAGATCGAGGGGGGAGGGGAGGGCTGAGGGGTGTGAGAATGGAAAGAGGAGAGGAGGAAGAGGGAAGGGGAAGACGGAGGGGGTGGTGGCGGGAGGAGGAAGGGAGTGGTGACGATGGTGGTTATAGGTGGTAGTATTAATTTTTAAAAAATATCTTAACAATTTTTTTAATTTTAAAAAGTACTCCAAAACATATTCCAAAAATATTACAAAAAACATATTTATAATAAAAATTTTTCATATACAATGCTACAGTAAAATATTTTAAAAACACCTCAAAAAATAACTAATTCAAATGGAGCATATCCAAATCACTCCTATCAAATAAAAAGCGTATCCAAATCAATTAGGAAAAAAAAAACCCACTATAATGTATCACTCTTATCCTAGTTTTCAAGATCCAGACGGCAGCCAATCCAACAAGTTTCGGACCTTTTCTTCAATACAAGCTTTTGCTGTGGTTGAGGTTTGAACTTAAATTTTGCACTCAAGACATGGGCTACACGAAGGGCTGCAGTAGTGTACTCAGAGGCTGCTACTTTGCAGCTAATCACTTCTTGCCCTTTTGCAGCCTTGATCCTCGTTGTCATGCTTAACTACTGCTTCTGACCGTCCTAGAATCTTATTATATTTTGTGAACCCGTGATCTGTGCTTGGTTATCATCGTCCATGTAAGCCGAGGTTGTCGGCACACAACCATATACTGAGCTTTCCCCTAGTTGGGGGAGGCTTGCTGTTTGCCATGGAGTTGCAGAGATTACTAGGCATAGATGGACTTCGACAAAAACATCGACTTGCTCATGTCAAAACTATGTCATGTTCAAATGCTGAACCACATCTAGTAGAGGTTCACAAATTCTAAAACACTTTTTTGTTTCCGGCCTATTCTGAAGTCCAATTAATTTTTAGTAACTGTATTTCTTACAATGAACTTTATCATTAAGGAGGCCTTGAAATTTTTGCCAAGAATAATTCATGATTGAGATTGATTCATTTTACCGCACTAATTAGACCGGCTTCTGTTCAAAACAAGTATTTGCAGATAAAAAGTGTTGCTGTTTGACAATCAGAGTGAAAGCATGACATATAAAATAAAAGAGTTTAGGCTCCACCATAAAATTGAGACATCATAGAAAACAAGAATGTGCTTTCTAACATTTGACGCGGACATCACTACATACGATCCAGCATTTCAACTAATAAATCACAATGAACGTGAGATTCCATGAACTATTGCATCAGCAAATACCACAAGAAAACAGCATTATATTGAATGCTGGTTTAACTAATCACCAGCAGTGTGCCCTAGCGAAAAGCAGCTTAAATGACAGACTCTGCAGCTGCGAAGAGCAAATCCGGGCTGGAGGACAAAACGAAAAAAGAAAAAACCTGTCCTGCTAACAATTGTGCCAGCAATGAGCTTCAATTTTAACTGCAATAACTTCTTATATTCCTAATTACTAAATTTTCAAATAAGGAACCCCTTAAAATTCAAGTACTATTAGTTGTTGCTAACAAACCCAGAAAATTAAGTATGAATCGTCCAGATCTACACTAAAGGCGAAATTCAGAAATGCTATTGACAACATGTCAACTAAAACAGAACAGAACGCAAAATGGCAAACATCCAAAATATTTAAGCCCTTTCATTCAAACTACAAGCGTAAAGGACTAATTACTCCTCAAATGTTGAAGCAGTTACAGTGTTGAATGTCCAGATCTATAAACTACTCCACTTGTCTATCGCTAAATGGGAAGAAAGGTAGGGGTGCAAGATATCCACCAACAATAGAGAATCATCCAAAATGTCCTAAGAAAGGTAAAAAAAAAAATTTACATCAGCATTTAAATACCAAGGGATCCTGATGCAAATGCCATCCACCGTGCCAAAGATCATTCATCATCTTCTTCCTCCTACAGTTGACAGAATATATATTAGTAACAGTCACCGCATTCAGAAGAGCATACCGATCAAATCTTAGGCAGACTGATAAGTAGAACAAACCTCCCCACTGCCTTCCTCATCGTCATCATTAACCTCAGACTTTGACTTATCAGACCCCTCTTCCCCGTGACCACCCTCCTGGTTTTCAATCAATGAGCACCATTCAAAATGTCATGAAGTCAGTTAAAAATTAAAACCAAAATCATCAATACCATCAATTAACAGGAACAGTTGCTCACCAATCTCCTGTTGTACGCCTGCATTTGTCGTTCATAATCCTGCTTTCGCTTCTCTGCCTTGGCAACATAGGGAGCTTTTTCCTGAATTTTCGAAATAAGATCACATTGAAAAGCAACTGTATCACGATCAAATCCATGAGTATGAACAAAGTACTATACATCATAACTTTAATCTTTGGCCCCAAAAAAAAGCATGTAATCTTACTATCAAGTAAATTACCTCATCGGTGAAGGACTTCCATTTATCTCCAGCAGCTTTACCAACCTATATTACTCCAAAAGATCCCAAACCTCATAAGGCATTAGATTTACTAAAAATGAATAAATAAATACACAGAACACAGAGAAATACATCATCTAAAATACTCACAACAGCAACTAATTTGTTGTTTGGATTTTCTTCTTTGAATTGCTTTCTGAACTCTTCCCTGCAACCCATGTTACAGGTACCAGCGATAAGCTCATTAAAATATAATTAAACCAAAAAAAAAGTTAATTCTACCCAAAAAAAAAATAGTAAAAGTTTAAATGAGTTGTCTTTTTTTTGTTTTTTGTGAGAGGGAGGGGGAAGCTGTCGGGTAACTTACATAAAAACGAAGAAGGCGCTAGGAGGCCTCTTAGGTTTGTTAGGATCCTTTGCCTTCTTTTCCCTCTTCTGCTTCCTCTTTTTCACAGAAAGCCTTTCACCCACACCACATAAATCGACCAGAAAAAAAATGGTGAATACAGCAATATATAGATTAAGCAGATAATCCCATACGAATGAGAAAACAACCCTCTATATCAAAACGAACAAAAGAAACGAGGCTTAACACCAATTGGAAAAGAAAAAAGACGAAAAAGGAACTAATTATTTGATTAAAGTAGAAGAAAAGGAAAGAAATATACATATATATATGGCACTTACTTGCTGTCTGGATTTCGGGAATCAGCTTTGGATTTACCACCTTTCATGGTGATCGCGGAAAACAAGAGAAAGTGAAAAAGGAAAATAAATTGAGGGAAAAACTCGAAAATCGAGTGAAATAAACGGAAAAATGGATGAAAACTAATAGTAGAAACCGGAAGCTTTTACGTGCAGCAGTAGCGATGAGAGATTAGGAATTAGGGTAAATGGTGAAGCTAGGGTTTGTGGTTTGCTGGTAAAATACAGAGCCAATTGGGAGGGGGAGGGAAAAGAGGGCCACTTGCTTTGCTGGTACCCCAATCTCACAAATGGTAACCAAATGGAGTATATGAATGAATAAGTTTCCCGGCTTTTGGGGTTTTAGCTTTTAGGCGGGACGTCCAAAATTTCGCACCCCCCCCCCCCGGTCCTCGATCCACATCTTCCTTCCCCTATTTCTATCGGCTTCTCCTATCCTACCACCAGACCAGTGCCACTCATCTTTTTTACATTAACATTCGGCCCATTTTAAGCTTTTTCGAGCCCAAAATGAAAATGGTCCATTTTCGAGTCCACAAGCTCCATCTATGGGACCTGTGACGTTCGAAAAAAGACTTGTGGACTTTAAATACTCGAACTAGTATTAAAGCCCAGCCAGTATCTCAAAAATAAACATCTACTACTGCAAATTATCACATGCAGCAGTGGAAGTGACGGCCTCATCTGACCATCTGAAAGTACGGAGAGGGAATTATTGGTGAGGGTCAGCGCATGCCGTTTTCGTTTTCGGCACCATTACCATTTGTGGGTCTTAGACAAATCCCTTCTTCATCATCAAATCATAAACGAGACAACTTACTGACACCATAGTGTTCTTCCGGTAGAACCTAAAAGGATATTTTGAGACATACACTACTACTACTATTTACATTACATCACATCGTGTGTTTCCTGGTGATCAGGTCGCCGGACCCAAAACTCTGGAGTTGGGTTAACCGTCCCAAAAAGTTAACAGTCATAATTTAGCAACAAAAAAAAAAAAAAAAAATTTTCAAATCACGTCTTATACATCATTTTTACTATCACACGTGAAGTCGATAAAATTTTATTTTATATTTACAAATTATTAAAAATAAATTATATTTTAAATAAAGCGAACTACATTATGTGAGAATAAAACAAAATCGGCTCAAACGATTTTTCTAACAAGATTGTGAGATTAAATTTGAACTAACCACAGGAAGCCCTAAAATTACACTAAACCGCAAGGATATCACTTTTTTCGCACTTAAATTCAACCAAAGTTTAATGGCAGCCAATTTCCCCGTGGGTCGTCAATGTATTAAGCATATGGCTTTGAACAAATCTTAATTGTCCTTTGCTAACCAACCAAAAAAATAAAAGAGCAAAAAAGAAAGAGCAGAATTTAAATCCCATGTCGAAGGAACTGCGGGCCGTAGTCTTTGAATTTGACCGGATTCGTCATAGACTCAAAAACCACGAGCTATAAAAAGCGCGTAGACGAGCAGATCGCCATCCACTCAACTACCAAACAAAAAGTTGCTCGCAAAACAACGCCAACGCAAGGAAGGGCTAATACCTCTTTGATTCTTTGACTTTGCAACCGTGTGAGAGTTGAGAAAGCAAAATAAACCCCATAAGAAAAGAATATTATACTCCTGACGAGAAAGAAGCTACACAAAAAAAAAAAAAAACCACATAATGAAATGAAATCCCCAGTTTTTTCCCCACAAATCATAGATGGAAGCATTGCAAAATCGTTCTCACATTTTTAAGTAAATAAATCATTTCTAGTCTCTCATATGCAAAATATAAAACTGTGATGGTACCTCACCAGTACAAAATGTGCTCTCATTGTAAGCATCCCTTTGCAAAATGTATATTTCACCTTTTAGTTTATTGGTTTGTTTGGATTGCATTTTTTGTAGAAAAAATTTCAAGTTTTAATGCGAATATTCTTTTTCGTAATTTTTAATCACTTTTTTACTCTACATGCATTTATATCTCACAAAAGAAGAAAAATACAACAATAATTTTCTCCAAAAGCCTTTCAAAGAAAACAATCCAAATAGGCTCTTTAATATTCAACTCCGTTGGAAAAGCCAACTCAACTTGAACTAATATACAATTTTTTCTCTAATTTGCATGAGTTCACTTGCAAATTAGAGTCCGTTTTGATTGTTTTTTTTTTTTGTAGAAAAATATATCATATTAATTTTCATTTGGATTGCTATTTTCTAAGATTTTTTTTTTTAAATGTACAATAGCAATTTGATGTATGCGCGGTAAAAAAGTAGTTGAGAAATGAGTTTACAAAAAACATAAATTTTTTTGGAGATAAATTGGTAATCCAAACAAGGCCTAAGTAGAGGACCAAATTACCATAATTGAAGATATGGGGGGATAGAAATAAAATTCTTGAAAAGGTGAGGGACTATTCCAGCAATTTTGAGTTTTTTCCCCACAAATCATAGATGGAAGCATTGCAAAATCGTTCTCACATTTTTAAGTAAATAAATCATTTCTAGTCTCTCATATGCAAAATATAAAACTGTGATGGTACCTCACCAGTACAAAATGTGCTCTCATTGTAAGCATCCCTTTGCAAAATGTATATTTCACCTTTTAGTTTATTGGTTTGTTTGGATTGCATTTTTTGTAGAAAAATTTCAAGTTTTAATGCGAATATTCTTTTTCGTAATTTTTAATCACTTTTTTACTCTACATGCATTTATATCTCACAAAAGAAGAAAAATACAACAATAATTTTCTCCAAAAGCCTTTCAAAGAAACAATCCAAATAGGCTCTTTAATATTCAACTCCGTTGGAAAAGCCAACTCAACTTGAACTAATATACAATTTTTTCTCTAATTTGCATGAGTTCACTTGCAAATTAGAGTCCGTTTTGATTGTTTTTTTTTTTGTAGAAAAAATATCATATTAATTTTCATTTGGATTGCTATTTTCTAAGATTTTTTTTTTAAATGTACAATAGCAATTTGATGTATGCGCGGTAAAAAAGTAGTTGAGAAATGAGTTTACAAAAAACATAAATTTTTTTGGAGATAAATTGGTAATCCAAACAAGGCCTAAGTAGAGGACCAAATTACCATAATTGAAGATATGGGGGATAGAAATAAAATTCTTGAAAAGGTGAGGGACTATTCCAGCAATTTTGATTACAAAACACGTACTGCGAGAAATAGAAAATACTGTATATGATATGGGGCAGTTTCAAAAAAAAAAAAAAAAGAAAAGAAAAAGAAGAAATACAACACAATAAGAGTCCCAGTGAGACAGCAAAATGGATATTAAAAAAAAAAAGAAAAAGAAAAGGGAAAGGGTGAGAAATAGTTAGAGTATGGGTAAGGCTGCGGTAACAACAACGAGAAGAGCAACAATAGCAAAAGCAGCAAAAACAGCCACGCCACCACCGGAACCGGGACCGGAACCGGAACCGGCCCAATTAGTAGTAGAGATGAAGCGCAAGAAGAAGAAAGGCCGACCCTCTCTTTTAGATCTCCAAAAGCGTCAACAGCAGCAGCAACAACAACAACAAAAAACCCTAACCCTCCCCCTGCCCCTCCCTCCCAATCACAATTCCACCCCTACCCGTCGATCCACTCGCCGGAACCCCACCAATTACAATTCCCCCTCCTCCGAGTTCTTTAACAACGACGACGACGACGATGACGACGAAAGGCAGCAGAAGAAAGTCAAGCTTGTTGTGCGTCTCCCCCAATCCACCCAACAGCATTTTCATAATTCTGCCTCCGCTGCTGATTCCGGTGCTGACGACCCAGACGATCACCAAGCCTCTCCCAGGAAACGTATGATCAATGCCGTTGATCGTAGATCTAACGACGTCGTTTTCGATCAGGTCCTCAATTTTGGGAATTTTTGTTTTTGGGCCTCGCCTTCTTCTACTTATACTTGCATATATGGATGCGTATGCATTTTTCTTTTTTCTTCCTAGTGTTTCTGGGGAGAGGATGATGGTTGGGATTACTTTTATTTGGAAGCTTTTTTTGAAAAATCAAATTCGGAGTCAAATGTTCGTCTATTTTTGGAAAATTAGAAAAAGAGCGGCGTGCTTGTTTCGGTTTTCTTTGTTCGAAGATTTTGAGTTTTCTGGGTCTAGACGTGATTAATATCTTTTGGGATTTCGCGCGTAATTCAACCTTTTTTCTTTCCCTTTTTAAAAAAATTGTTTTTTGGTAGATAAATGACTTTAAAGATCTGAACTCTGAAGTGGGGTTTTGACTCAGTCAAGCTTTACAAATGGGTAGTAGAAGCCCATATTTATTTATCTGGTTGCTTAAATTAATACTTAATTTATTTTCTACTTTCTATTATTACGAAAATTTTGCGTCCAGTTTTCTGGGTTCCCCCCCCCCCCTCCAAACGCACCCACGCAGGCCCCTCCTCTTTTTCTCCCTTAGCTGAGCTTGTAAAAATTCCTGCTCATAACTGTTAATATTTTATTCTATATCCTCTTGTATGTAACTGGCTTTAACATATATAGACCACCCACCTACTGATATTCACGCGCAGCGTAATATTTTTTGAAAAGTTGGGATTTGTCTTTTCTGATTATTGACATTTATATTTATAGCAGTAAAAGGAACATCCCATTTTTAGCAGTTGTACTCTGCTGTTGCTTTTCTAGCTGCTGCTTCATTGCCCTTATTATTGTTGCTTTGATGGTTAATGAACCCTTGTAAGCTTTACTTGATTGGAGCTAACAGCTGGTTGGGCTAATTTTGCAGGGGGAAAAGGCTTTGAAAGCGACGGACACTGTTCATGGTTCGTTTCGTTCCAGTCAAAGCCATGCATCTCTTTGGGGGATAATGTTGGGAATTTCCCAACACGTGTTCTCGTTTGGTTTTTGTTTTAGAAGGAAAAAAAATAATTCTGGTCATTTGATTTGTGGACAGGGTCATCTCTGGACATTGGGCCCACCACACCTTTGCCAGATAAAAAGATGTTGGTGTTCGTCCTTGACAGACTTCAAAAGTGTGTAGTATTTTTCCTTTCTCTTAGTAGCTTATTTCGGTTTCTCCTACTACTGTTGAGTTTTTGCTTGCGACAGTAAGCTTATCCATAGTCTCCTGGATTGTAGGAAGGACACTTACGGAGCATTCTCAGAGCCTGCGGATCCAAATGAGGTGCTTTTGCTATAATGATTTGGTATAAAATTTGGTCCTTCTTTTCACTCACTGTACTGATGTTAAAATGGTATCGTTGTAGCTTCCTGATTATCATGAAATCATTGAACATCCAATGGATTTTTGGACTCTACGGAAGAAACTTGATGCTGGATC